GTTCTATGGTATTGGAAAGGAGGTAGAAAATGATTTCAGTTCTTTCTTTTGCTCCCTATGCATTCAATGTTTGGCCTTATATAGGGTGGACTCCTGTGCTTTGTTTGGAAGGGCAGGTGGGAGACAGCAAATATCTGAACATATATACTATCTTTTACAAAACCCCTTTTGACTCTTTTCTGTAGAGCTGGTTGAAAAATAGAAATTTTGTTCTGTGCAGTCCATTCCATGGAGGCTGAAAAGTGAAGCTGACCGTAGCTTAGCTGGTAGGCTCTTGGAGGTTGAACACCTAGGCTTTCCTCCCGCCCAAGCGAGTTTATCCTTGGGGATACCAGAGATGTTCAGCTTCTCTGCCTCCAGCTGGAGGGAAGCCTCTTGTTTTGCCTACTAGGAAGGAATTTGTCAATTATGCTTTCTTTATGCAGCAAGAAAACAAACTTGACAAGTGCCTTCCAGGTGGGGACTCTTCATCTTGATTTCCTGGCAGGAAATTGTAATTTTCCAGCAAAATTGCTTTTTCCTGTGGAAAATTTTTCTGATGGAAAATTCTTGCTCAGGTATAGTTTCATGTTTTATCTTTTTCCAGTCTGAAAAGCAATGCACCAAGTTCTTCCCTCTTCACAGCATGTTTTTAGAAAGGCATTATGGTATTTCAAATGGCTGAGCAGAAATGTTGCAAGGAACATCATAAGAATTGTATGCATTCCATCAATTTGTTTCTGCCATGAGAAAAGATTGCCCAGCAACTCCTTATCAGGAAATAAGTAATGAAAGCAAATTGAAGTTTAGAGCATGTCAACAGGCAATTTAATTTTCTTCTCTTTTGCAGTTGCAGTAACTTGGGCAGTTATTATACATGGATCTTTAACAATATTTTCTGTTTATGTTTGAAGATCATGAATCGGGTGAATCTTAAGTACTGGATTCAACTTATTGGAGAGAGTTTTTGGAACATCCGTGTAATTTATTTTTAATAAACAGAAAATGTTGAAATGTATTTTAATATGTGTTCTAAGTCATTTCATGTACATTATTATATCTCTGTAAAAGAAATAATTTAATCCAAACCTAGCACCCAATTTGTAAACATAAGCCTTCCATTTAAATAATGAGCTTCAGTCATATTACACATTGTTAAACTCTTATATGTAATTCTTAATGTTTTTGTTACAGTAATGTATTTTTGCTCTGGTGGAATAACAGCAGATATTAATGCCCCCTCCCACTTTATTAGCTCTGATTATTTTATATGCAAGCATATACAGTTACACGGTTTTCTCATCTACACATTGATTGTCATTTTCTACACCCCTAAACACACACATTATATATGCATATCTATGGTTATCTATCTATCTAGATATATATAATATTGTTGGTGTGTATCCCCTTAGGGCAGTTGATCTGTGGCTGTCCTATGGAGTTCTAGAGATAGGACATTTCCATACAGTTCTGGTATTATATTTAGTAGTCTAGGTCAGTTTTCTCAGGAGTTGCAATTTCAAAACTTTTAGTTTTGTTGTCTTGTTTGTATTGAAGGTTGTAGTTGCAAATCATTACTGTGATCATCTTATAATGTTATTTAGAATGTGCTTTGTTCATGGATTGTTTTTAAGGCCTGTTATGGAGATCTCTTTGAAAATATTTTGATGCTTGCTTTTTCTTCAAGTATCAATAACCAGTTGAATGTTCTTAAGTAAGCATGAAAGCTTATGTCCCTGCCCCCAAGAGCTGCCTGCTGCTGGGCAGGGCTCCGCCACCAGAGCCCATGCCTGGGCAATGTCCCCCTGCTTCAGCAACAGGGAGCTCCCAGCTCCCACCTTACAATTGCAATCAGGGAGCAGGGACTGGGAAATTCTCATCTCCCAGCCTCCGCTTTACAATTGTGATTGGGGATTGGGAGCTGGGATATTCTTATTTCCCAGCCCTAGCCCCATGGTTGTGGGGCCAGCGCTGAGAGATTCGTCTTTCCTGGTGCCAGCTCCATGGTTGTAGGGCTGGTGCTGGGAGATTCTCCTCTCCTAGCCCTAGCCCTATGTCACAGAGCCTGGGCTGGTAGATTCTTGTCTCCCAGGCGTAGTCCCGTGGTCATGGGACCTAGGCTAGGAGATTTTTATCTCCCAGCACCAGCTCCATTGCGGCAGGGCTGGTGCTAGGAGATTCTTCTTTCCCAGCACTTGCTCCACGGTCCGGGGCTGGCACTGGGAGATCCTTATTTCCCAGCCCTTACCCCATGATTTTGGGGCCAGTGCTGAGAGAGAAGGATCTTCCATCACTGCCCCACAACCACAAAGCTGGTGCTGGGGGAGAAGAACCTCCCATCCCAGGCCCCGTGAGTGTGGAACTGGGACATAAGCATCTCCCAGCCCAGGCCCTGCAACCATGGGGCTAGGGCTGAGAATGAAGAGGCTTCCAACTCAGGCCCCATGACTGCAGAGCTCATGCTAGGAGGTGAGAATCTCCCAGCCTGGGCCTCATGACTGGGTAGGGCTGGGAGATAAGAATATCCCATTCCAAGCCCCATGATCATGATTGCGGAGTCGAGGCTAGGAGCTCCCTGCTGCCAGGCAGGGGGACATTATTCCCTCCCAGGCTTCAGTGGCAGAGCCCATCCTGGGAACAGGCAGGTCCCAGAGCAGCGAGCAATGTCCCTGTGCTCCTTGCCAGCCCCTGGGCTAGCACCCAGGGGGAGCCTAGAGCTCCCCCTGGATACTATGGGGGGCTGGTTCAGGGCGGATGGGTTGGGAGCAGATTGCTGCCATGAGCAGGAAATCTACTCCCAAGTCCCTGCATGTGTAGATGCATGCCCAGGTCACTTGACTCTGGAGTAATTTACTCTAGAGTAAACTGGTCCTGCATTATTTGCACATGTATTACCCACATTATTTGCATGTGTATTGTCTATTGTGTACAAGTTCTGTAAAACTTTGGGTTCTGCAGGTTGTTACTGTTAGGGTGGTGGACTGATGGAGGCAGGTACCTTTCAGCAGTCATGTTTGATATACAAAGAAGGCACAAATCCTGTTTCTGCAAACACCAGAGGAATCAAATAGGCTGTAATTTCTCTACTGTTAGGCCTGTGGTGGGCCACTAGGAGGTGCTCCTGCATTGGGCCACCCACCTCACTGTGCCCAACCACCTTCTAGGCTCCAAGTGCCTCTCTGGGGGCACCTCATGTCCAGCCGACCCCCTTCCTGGAACACACCTGCAAGCCTGGGGGTAGTGCCGCCACCACCCAGAGTCTGGACTGATCTTGGACCTGTGCCCTCTGGGAAACACAGGTCTAGTAGTCCTTGAGGGTACTTGACCCACTGCAAGAATTTGGGGTGCTTCCCTCAGTCTGAAGCACAAATAGTGGTCTCCTTTAGTCAGCCGAACCAAGGGGACCCCAAGGCATAATCTAGACCCTCTCCCAATAAGTCTCCCATGCTAGATACAAAGGAGAACTTTATTGGTTACAAGGAGTAGGTTTGGAATAGGGTACAGGGTAGAGCAGTATCAGAGAAATACCTTAGAGCAAACAGTGGCACGGTAGCCTTTGATCACACATCTGATTTACTGCGAGCTATATATCTAGTTACATCTCAGGTAGCTTACTCACAAGTACTGTCCAGAGGCGGGTGGAAATTCACTCTGGAGGCAAACAGTTCATTGATCATGAGTTTTGAGAGAGAGAGTTTCAGATGGTCCAGCTTCTCTCTGAGTTTTCATCATGGCTACTGCCCCCACCTCCTGGGCAGTCCTTCACTTATTTAGCCCCTATGACCTCATTTACCTGATCCAGTGAAGGCCAGCAAGTGTTGGCTGCCGGCCAACCAATTTGAAATGCATCATTGGTTGTTGGGTAGACTGGCAGGGTCTGTAGCCCCTCCCAGTTATGTTGTTGGCTACAAAGCTGGCATTGCTTAGAACAATAGGGAGCTTAAGCCCCCCCGCCCCCAGGTGTGTGTGAGGTCAGTCTTGTAGGCAGAGGGAGTGGGTTTCCTCCTCCCTCTGGAATGTATCCAGCTCAGATTACAACTCAGTGTTACCTGAAGCTGATGGGGCAGAGGTAAGAGTGTTATGACTTGAGTTAAACTCTATTGGAACTACTGGATGTAACAGTCACCCTGCCTTTTGTAGTGACCATGGCAACCAAATTGTCTGATAGCAGAGTTTGGGGACAGGCAGAGATGGCATTCTGCCACAAGGCCAACCCACTTAAAGCCAATGCTAAATCCAACCATCTATTGCAATAGGTGTTCTTGGGGCCATCATTCTGGTGTTTATTCAAACTTTGTGCCTTTGCCTTCTGTTTCCTTACAATCTATTTCTGGGCATTTTTTACTGCTTTTCTCACTCTCAGAGACCTCTATTAAAATAATATACCATTATTTACTTGATTCCAAGGCAGGGTTTTTATTTCCGTTTAACGTGGGGGAAAAAGGTTCCTCATCCTCACAGAGGATGTTTGTTTTCCCCCACCACCTTCCACCTCACCAACTCCTCCATTGCCTGTTCCCCTTACTGCTTCTCCCACCATATGACCCCTGCCACCGCTTTCCCCACTGCAGCAGTGTGCAGGTGGAATTTAAGATGATCTTACAATAATTAGATTCTATATCTGGAAAAATATAACAAATTTATGCATTTTTGCATGTATAGAATCTAATTATTGGGGATTGTCTTAACTTCATGCTTATCTTGGATTTGTATAAATATGATTCTTAGTAAAACTGCATTGCCCACATGTCCTTGGTGTGTTTTTATTTTGTGCTTTTACATGTATTATTGGTTTGAGTTAAGGTTTCTTTCTGGTTCCAGGAGGAATTTAGTTGTTCCCTCCATTTTTTTTCCTCAGTGAAGGGTGACTGTTACATCCAGTAGTTCCAATGAAGTTTAACTCAAGTCATAACACTCTTATCTTTTTAAAACAAGACCTGATACAATGAGGTCACAAAGCAGCTATATTGTATTGGATTTTACTGTAATGTCTAATACTATATATTTTGTTGTTTTAGGTACTCTACAGACAGAAGCATGATGCTGAAAAAGGGGCATCCAGTTATGCTCACATGAAGGAGCCTCCAGATGTTATGCATGCCATGGAAGTCAATAAACATCAGAGTAATGTATGTACTCTTTTTTAACCTTGATTTTAAAGAGTCAAGTCTATTTGTTTTATATAAAATAAAATGTTCACAATATTTTGAAATCCATTGGAATTTCTTTTTTAAAAACTTTGCATACACATTTACCATATTTTTGCATACAACATAATACCCCCCAAATATGATACTCAGCTTGTTTTTGAAAGGTAAAATGAAGAAAAAAGATCTTTCTGTTTTCACACAATACTGGTATGCAACGGTAAGTAACCGAGTAACTTCAGGTAGGGAGTCCAGGGTTCTCACCTGTGGGGCACATGTAGTGTTACATTCACTTTTCCTCATCAGAGGCTTATGCTGCAGAAACAGCTATTACCATTTTCCTCGCTTATAACTTGTATCCCAGTTTCCAGAAGATGATTTTTGGAAAAAGGATGTGTGTTCTATGTGAGATAATACAGTCATTTAAAAAATCTTTTAGACTGTTGTATGTATGTGAATATTTACATGGGTTATACTCTAAACAATTTTTGAGTATTTCATTATAAATCTTATAGGAAAAGCTGTGTTGCCTTTGCTAATTATTTGACATTTTATTTACAAGCAGAGCTCTCTGAATACATATTTATTTTGTACTTTAAAACAATATATAACTCAGTATTGACATGAAGCATAGAATGGCTTCAATTTCTTTCAGTGATAAATTTCATATACTTATGTGAATGTTGCTTTTAGAGAGGTGAAGAGTGAGAGGTTTCAAGATTTGGAATTGGGGCCTCAGTTTGCCTGGCTGGGGTTTGCTTTGGTGTCCCTAATAACAGAAGGTTCTCCTAGTTCTTTTAATAAAATTAATTTGCATCACTTTTCATAAATGCAGTTCTTTCTTAAAACTGAGAGAATTTGTTTAAGAACCACTTGTTTAAATTATTGATTTGTTAGTCTTTTGTTTTTCTCTCAGCTTGGACATTACCATAACATGATAACCTTATTTATGTTTTTGATCAAGTCATTTTAAAGTTCAGATTCTCATGTGCCACTCAGTGCTTCATTATTGAGGTTATGTCTGCTATACAGAGCTTAAAAAAATTAATATACAAACAACTTCAAAGAAAACGCATTCTGTTGTTCAGGTCTTGCAAAAGCTTAGTTATGTAAATACTGAATTTTAAGCAAAATTTGGCCAAAATAATTAGGCCCCTTTAAAGGGAATTCAGAAACTGTACATAAGATTAACCAAAAATGTTAAGGACATTTAAAGTTAAGGTCTGCTGTCTATCTTACATAAGTGCTACATGTGAAGTCAGCTAATAAGATTATTTTTCTTCTATTTTTTTAAACAAAGCTGTCATTTGTTTGAAGTTATGGTTTATGTTTAAATGCCTTGAAATTTGTGCCAGCTCTTCAACAACAGTTCAGTGGACACTGTCAAGCTGTGTGTGGAAAGAAATTAATGTAACCTTGAATTGTATCTCAGATGTTTAAAACTTTGAGGGCTGGTCAGGATATTATGGGACTTCATGGGGCCTTGTGCTTGGAAATGGAATGATTTCTACTTGTATGATACATGCTTCAACTAGAAACCCAGGATCAATTCCCAACCCTGCTTCTTCCCTACCTGGAATCTTCTCACAGCCTGTCCAGCTTGGCCTCTGCCCACTACTGAAAGTTATTAAACCAGCATCAGGTTTAGAGAGAATAAGAGCTGAGATAGAGGCAACTTGGATGGGGAGGGATCAGTTATAAGGAGAGAACTTGCGCCATGGAGCTCTTTGCCCATGATATAGTAGTATTTTTTTCTGGTTCACAGTAGGGATGGTGATGGACTGTCAGTGAGGTGAGAAGGTTGTGTTTGCAAAAGGAAAAGAAACAGAAATGGGAAGAGATGGAATCCTTAATACATGGAGGAGCAAGAAGAGGAGAAACTGGAGAGCTGCTTTTGGGTCAAAATTATTCTAATGTGGGGTTGGATGTCCTTTGAGGTTAAATTTGTAAATCCAGTCCAGAACAGCTCCCCATTGTTCTGTGGCTGCACATATCCCTGTTACTATCAATAATGAGGGCAGTTTGCAGATGACCAAGTAAATAGAAAAGTAATCATGGTATCTCCTTATGCCTGTGACCAAATAGAAAATTTGTTTTAAAAAACCCTCACAAACAAATATGAGGCTACAGAGAAGGGAATGATATCTTGACGTGATCGTTTTAACAGAATCTTACAGATGATGGAAAACATGAAGAAAAAATCTTCAGCATGAACAAACTAAGGAAAAAAACAGCTCCTTTAATCTATTTCAAGATAGTCTTTTTTCTATTGCTTATATGGAACCAAGATGCAGTGGGAATATATTTTTATTGCACACAAGGAACTCTCATGTAACTCTAGTTATTGATAATGGGAGTTACACACCTACTGTGTGTAATTACTTGAGCACCATGCTGAATATTTGCTTGGGGATTTCTCATTTTGTAAGTAAAGGTTTAATTAAGAACCACATGAGGTTTCACATTTAACTGTGAATATGGAGCACTAAGGATTCCAAATGTGAAGCATCTGTCATATGGAACTTGGGCTATTTGTGGTTTTGAGAAGTACGGTGTTAAAGAGAGAAACTACTGAGGGAATAGGAGGACAAAGCTCTTTTATCCACCACACGGCATAGTATACCTATGGGAGCCAAATGCATGTTTACCTACAATAGTCTGCCAACTCAATTCAACCTTTACATTCAGGGTTTGCATCTAATAGGATTAGGATGTGTTTAAGACTATTTACTCAGCCTTAAAATAAGGCTGACATTTATACCTAACTGTGTGAAACGTGCAATTTCCTTTAAAAATTAAGACTGTATTCCACTTAAAATACATTTGTGCTGACAGTTTAAGCTGTCGTGTGCTACAGGTCTTTACTCCATTTTGAATAATATTACCCTGCTTAAGTATGAGTTAAGTGTGCATAATAGGGATATATTGCAAAATCTACTAACAACTTGATCATTTGTAAGAGAGAGATCTTCACCTTTTTTAGTACTTTTACCAAAGAAAATTGTTCTCAATAACAGTGACTGGAGTTAACTGGAGGAAATTTACTTACAAAATTACTTTACACTCTATTCAGTGCTAGAATGAAAACATGATTAACACACTAATTCTATATATAAATGTTTGTGTATCTGTTAAGTAAAAAATGGATTATATGAATATTAAATTAATAGATGTAAATTAATATTAAAAGCCTGACTTCATTACCCAAAACACTGATAGTTGGAGAAGAAGTTTCCAGTCCTCCCTGGTGTCCATATTTGTTACTATACTTTTATGTAATCCGAAGATTTTCAAACCATGAATGACTACACAGTAATAGCTAATAGTCTGTGTAGAGTTGTCTGGTAACAAGGAACCAGTTCTCCTTGTTTCTAGCTGAGAGTGCCAGATCAGAAGCGGGGAGATAGAGGAGATGAACTAAAGAGAAAAAAGGGGCAAGGTGATTAAGCTTTTCAAAAAGGAAAAAGACCCTTGTTCAGTTAATGATGCCTGGAAATATATAAACACTTTCGAAGTATTGGTTGGCCAAGGAGAGAAGTGGTTAGCTATGGTAGAGTGTTGTTACATGTTATAGTTTGCATGTGCGAACTCTAAAGGTGGAAACAGATGTCACTTGGTGTTTCATTTGTGATGTCATAAAATTTTTTATGGGTGCACAAATTGTTAGCAAATAGACATTGTTACCCTTTGTCGCAGCACATTAGTGGCATGACAGGAGTGGTAACAAGGAAAATTAGTGACATGACAAAGCTGGTAATAGACTCTGCCACTTTATTGCAGCAGATGTCTATTCTGTGGCAGAAGAGCACAGGCAGCCTGAGCTGGTTGTACTCACCAGCCATCCAGGGCAAGCCCCTAGAACACCTGCCTGTTATTAAGGGCAGATCAAGGGCCAATGTGTTTCTACTAATGAAGTGAATCAGCCGTGCCATGAAGCATCGCATCACAGTTAATCCTCTTTGTTCAGCAATGTCTGTTTCTTGCCTCCAGACAGTTAGGTGGTATTAAAGTTAGCACTTGCTGTAAGCAGTCACATGGCAAGGATGAATACCCTCTATAATGTGCCTGGCTCTGATCTGAGTTGCAACATAAGCTGCCTAACACCATTTTGTTGGAAGGGGTGCAACTTTGAGAAGCACAGAGGGCACTTAGCTAATCAACTTTTGCCTTAACTTATGGGTACTCTCATCTTAAGAGCATTTAGTACATGGGAAAGGTAATGTCTAATAACATCCTTAATCTGAAGTCAGGCAGAAGGTAGGGCAGGGTCAAACTTTAGAGACTAACTGATTCAGAGAGTCATGAGGTTTCCTAGGCAGCAATCTACTTTATCAGATACTTTGTAAGTTTGTAGGTTGTTCCCTATGAACATACTTCTCTGAATCAGTTAATACCATAAAGCATCACCCCTTGTAATTGACTTGGTGGTGGGGTGAGGGGCACTGAAAGAAACCTCCCTGTACTGCTGGCAGCCTAGGAACAGCTGCAGCTGCTTGCCACCGTGGGCACAGAACCCTCCTTCTTATGCATCTGCTATAATGTGCGACCCTGCCATAACTTCTGCCTTTTTCAAGTATGTAATGATAGATATCAAAGGGTTGTAATAAATTGCAAATGGTAAGGAAAGGGACCTCTGGATATAGAAATGGAAGGAGAGATGAACATGAAAACTGAAATATACTTGGTGCTAGAAACAGTTGCAGACTGAAATATTTTACCCAACTTACATAATGTACTAATAAAGATGATCACCAAATGCACCATACAGTTTGAGGACGAAAATAATCCTTGGTGCTTATGTAGAAGTTTACATATTCAGTTTCCTAAAATCTGTGATCTGCTTCTCATGTGTCCCCACCACATTTGACCATTTTGTTATGCTTGCTCATGTTTCTTTATTGAACTTTGCGAGATCTTTCATTGCACATGAGCCTTCAAGTAGCAGGCATTGCAGCTGGTGTTGCATATCATTAGGCATTGTG